GAGGTGCTAAGCCCAATGAAAAGATTGATAGCTAGGAAATGCATCAAGTTCTGGGAGTCGTGCCTCTCTACGAAACTTGCATTCTTGCCTGTAATACGTATAGGTTGGCGAAGTTTATGGCTGAATGTTGGAGTGTGAAATTGATGTAATATCTCAAAAATTTGGGAATGAACAGGCGCGCAATAGGGAGGCTGCAGATAACGAGGTCGGCTGGCACCAGGTAACACGCAACTGACCGCCGCTTTGACCGATGCAGAGATCCCCACCATCTTGTTCCGACCGATCGCCACGCTGTGCAGGTGGGATATGACGTATCAAGCTTGCAATAGTTGCTATTTTACAGCACATCAACGCATTCCAGTTGGGTGATAACAGAAATAATGACAAAGGTAATAATCATGGTGGCAATGATATTGATTATGATAATGATGTCAAAAACCCAAACAGCAACGCAACAAGGTTGCTGGCGCGATCATGCGCTGGTGCGCTAACCTTGAAGCAAACGAGTCATGAACTATATGTATGGCTGATGTTTTATGTTTAAATTGCATACTCATTAGTATGAATCACCGCAAATTTTGCATGAAGGAAAATGAATAATTTTCTGTGACTGACCGTTCATTTGAAAATGATTTAGCTGTTCTGGCTGCCCAGTGAGTAGTTCTTCCGCCAAAAGTTTCACTTTCTAGTATGCAGGACTGAGACATGCGGAAAAGTTAGTATCACTTTTCTGAAGCAGCATTTGCCAAGGGACTCAGTGGCAAATTTTCAGCATCAAAGCTTGTCTAGTTGCCGAGTTGAAATACCAAGAGACGCACGTACAAACTTACATTAATGCTTCGTAACAATATTTGCTTTTGCATTTGCATGAATATGAAAAAACGCGTGAACAGTTGGTCGGTCGGTGTATCAAAATTACAATGAACAGGTCAGAATTTTACATACTTAATTATTCAAAAGTGTGATAGGAATATAAATTCAAATATTTTCGATGGAAATG